TGGGCATGTGGCTGCAGGGGTCCCTCTGGTGTAGCAGAAGGGGTGACCTGACAGTTCTTTCTTGGTGGCATCGTGCTCTTGGAGCCAGCATGCTTTTGTTGAAGGAGAGCTAATGGAGCCCTGAGGTTTCCTGTTGAGAAAACATGAATTATTCGAATGCTGATGAAATGCATTTAGTTGTAACTCAGTCACAGTGTAGATGCATTGTTGGGCTTTTTCTCTCCCTACCTATTGCCAGTTTGGAATGTCTGCCTTTGGGTTAATGAGGAACAAGGGATGGTTTGTCTGCTTAATAGGACTGAGGAAAGCACAGTCTTTAGAAGTCAGGTTTCCTGAAAATAGGAGGATTCTTATTTGTCACCATTCTTTTAATTCAGATGCAGGGCTCCTAAGGTTGCTATACTTCATTTGTTCCTTGCATTATGGAAATCTATTGTGTCTGGAGAATAAAAATATTATTCTACCACTGAGTATTGCCATGGGGATGGATCCTTAAAGCTTACCTTTCAGGATCAAAAATAATTAAAAGCTTGTCTGTGAAGACCTTTTATTTTATTTTTTTTTTCTGTGAATTTAACAGTGTCATGCAGCTTCTCTTTTTAAAATGTGTAAAGCAGATGCAGACAGAAAAACTGATGGCTTGGGTTCACTCTCAGATTTCTAAATTTTTTAGCACTGCCAGCTTCAGATGTTCAGAAAGCACAAGCTGGCCTCTTGAGAGCCATAGCTGGCGTAAGGAACACAACATTTTTCAATAGTGACAAATAGCTTTTCTGGGCAGCCTCCATTTGTGTTTTCAAAATTATCTTCTGAAGCGAGAGGAATCAAAACTTAGCATTGTAACCACTCCAAAGCTGCCCTGCTTTTAACAGCAGTCTGACTGAAGCAGTTCAGTGGGACACTGACCAGCACAGTAACATAAGAGTTGATGGCTCGTAACGTAAATGGGAATTTTGACCACTGGCAGCAGTTGGGTTTGGAGTAGATAATTTCTGACTTAACTGTATAATTTTTTTGTTTTAATTCTGTGAGTAAAAACCAGCATGCTTCATTTTACTGTCTTGTTTTTGCTGGTGGTCTCAGGAGTCATTAAAAAACTAAACACAGTAGACCATGTTATCTGTTCGATTTTTTGTTTGTTTTGCTTCTGTTTCCTTTCTGTGAACGATAAGGTCTGAACAATGCACTGGGAGGGGTCTCCCAGACCTTAGGGTGTTCTCACACCTTTATGTGTTTCATAGACTCCATAATTTAGGAGTAATCCCTCCTTCATGAGGGGAACATGTGTCTGGCTGGGATGGAGTTGATTTTCTTCACAGTAGCCAGTATGGTGCTTTAAATTTGTGAGTAAAACAATGCTGATAGAGCAGTAATGTTTTAGGTGTTGCTGAGCAGTTTACACAGCTTTCTCTGTTCCTCCCTCGGCCTCCCAGTGGATAGGCTTGGGATGCACAAGAGGTTGGGAGGGGGCACAGCTGGGCAGGTGACCCAAACTGACTGAAGGGATAGTCCCTGCCATGTGGCATTCTGCTCAGCAGTGACAATGGAGAGGAGGGACTTAGGGAGATCATCCTTCCCTGTCATGGGAACTGGATGGGCATTATTCCATGTCAGGGAGGTGGTTAATGATTGCCCTTGCATCGCTTTTGTTATCTTTCTCTCTTCTTCCAGGCCCCTTTTGGTTACTGAGCAATTTTTATCTTGACCCACAAATTTTTTTGGTTTTACTTCTTGCTTTTCTCTTTCCCCACCCCACTGAGGGTGGGAGAATGCCAACACTTAGCTTCCCACTGGGGTTAACCCACAGCACTCACCCCCAAAAATCTTGCTATAGTTATATCCAGATACAGCTGTGGCTTTTACCTCTGCCAGTTAAGGCAGAGTAATAGACAAGAGTTTTGTTTAATGCTCCTCACGCTTGGTAGACTTTACATAATAGGCTCTCTATTAGTCCATTGGTTTTGAGTTAAAATTGTTTATGCTGCAGGAAGATGTTGGGCAATAGCAAGACATGCTGTGCTAGTCGGCACAGCAATTCTTTTGGATCATTAGCTTGGATTTCAGACCAGCCTGCCCAGTGTATCTCTCGGGTCTACAAACTTGAGTTTAGTTGCTAAAGCCCACAGCAGACATCCCAGTTATTTAAACAATCTACAGTTTGAAGTTTTGGCTGGGAAACTCCAGTTCTGGAAAAGGATGAAAACTTGTGTTCTGGTAAAAATTCCTGCTGCCTGGACAGGGGAGGGCATGCTGTCTTCTGATCTGAAACGGGGAGTTCAGTTCCAAAATTTCTCAGCACGGCATTCGTTGTAAAGTCCTTTTAAAATGCTCGTTGCTGCTTCCACTGTACTGTGGAAAAAACAATCTTTTAAATATCTTGTAATATCTTTCATTTGTACTTGTACTTTTAGCATATTACAAAGAAAAGAAAAGATAAAAATATAATTCTGGGGAAAAATATCATACTGAATTAGAAGCATAGATTTCTTTAAAAAAAGAAAAAAACTGAAATTAAGCTACTATTTGGAAAACCACCAGTTCATGTGTATTCCTACTTGAAAAAACTTCTGTGTAGCTGACCTATTTTGGCAGTATTCTTGAGAAAATAATTTGCCAAACTTTTCGATGATAAAGAGTTGAAATCTGAAACACGAAAGATTAGGTAGAACCATCTTTTGGCACTTGTTTTTTATCTTTGTTCTGTTGTTCTATTTTTTTTCTTTTTTTCACCTTAATAATGCTCATACCATGCAGTGTGAAAGAATTTCTGAATATGTTATGAGTACTTTTGATTGGCTGTTTGGAGAAGTAGTATTTTAAAAGTATATACTCTATGCACATTTCTTGGTAAAGTGATGATTTAATTTGCCTGGGATAATGTAAAAATTACCCCTCTTGCATGACTGGTTGTTGTACCTTCCCCAAGTAGATGGGACCTCCTTTTCTTGAGTTCACTTTTTATCCAGAATTTCATCTGTTCTTGGTGCTTCCCTGGAATTAGCCAGCTGATGGTTTGATTACAGACATCATCACGGAGTTTTTATTTAATTAGGACATAACTTCTGACAGGTCATTTCCCACTCAGTCTGAAGCAGTGCAGATCAGAGCATTATGGTTTCATCTGATTTTTCTGCAGTTTCCTCCTCAGAGCTGTGGGCTGATGCTCTCCTGTCTGTTTAGTGCACTCGTGAGCCTGACTAGTACTTTTTGTGCTTGGATAAATGCAAAGGCACAGCGCCATCCGTAGCATGCCCCATCATACCTCTGTGCTCACAAGACAGCACTGGTTCATGAGGAGCTCTACAGAGAAAATACATCAGTAGTGTTTCATATACTTAAAAATATCTATTTGCTTTGTTGTCAAGAGATCTTGCAGATATTTTAGTGCTGCTTTCAGCTGGGATAATTTCCTACTCAGTAGCTGGTACAGTGCTGTGTGTTGAATTTATTATGAAGATAATGTTGATAACATACTGATGTTTTAGTAGTTGCTGAGCCATGTTTGCCCTAAGTCAAGGACTTTCCAGCTTCTGATGCTGCCCTGTCAGCTGCAGGGGAGCACAGGAAGCTGAGAGGGGACACAGCCAGGACAGCTGACCTGAACTGGCCAAATTGATATTCTGTACCGTAGAATGTGATGTATATAAATCAGGACGGAAAACTGGCCAGGGGCCACTCCTCAGGAACTGGTTGGACATTGGTGAGTGGGTGGTGAGCAATTGCATTGTGCATTAATTGTTCTGTATATTCTAAGTTTATTATTAGTAGTATCAGCCTTCTTTTCCTGTCCTGTTAAACTGTCTTTATGTCAACACACAAATTTTACTTTTTTTCCCCTAAATCTCTCCCCCATCCATTCAGGGAGTGGGGGAGTGAGCTGAGGTCTGTGTGGTGTTCAGCTGCCTAGACTAAACCTTGCTAGACTAAACCTTGACATTGTTAGCAGGTTGTGAAGGTTGCAGATTTTATGGGTTTTGCTACAGGCTTGTTAATACCTGGATAATAAGTAAATGTGTGCATTCCTATTTGGTGAATTAATCTTACTTAATGGCACTGAGATTTGTGAGGTTCATACAGGTTTTTACAGGTAATGGAAACAGCTTTTAATCATAAACTCAGTCTGTGAAGAATGATTCTACAGAGCACTTTAGCAGTGGATATTTCTCTTGTCTGCTTATGTGCTGATTCTCACACATGCAGCTGGTTTTTCTCTTGCCTTTGTTTTTTTCATCTAGCTGCTTGACCATGTGATTAATTTTGTTTAATGACCCTTGATTTTAAAATTCTAATGATGAAATAGTTTTTTGGTAAGTTGCAGTTGATGCTAGTTTCAACCTTTGGTTTCTTTGGCTACTTCCTGTATTTATTTTAATAACTGTCAGAAGTCTGATTCAAGGTCCTCAAGCATTATTACCATACTATGTTACAATATTTTCTTGCAGTAATTAAGTTTCTAAGCAGGTCTGTATACACTGGATTGTTGAGTATCTAGACAGAGGACCTGGACAAAAAACTCATAAATAAAAAGCAAGTAAATGAGTTTTGTGTTTAATTAATTGAAATGCATAGCTTCATATATTTCTTAAGCATGTAAATGCTGTTTGTTTTCTCAGGTATTTCCTCCTGCATTGTGTATGTACTTTACACATTGAAATAATTTGGAATCTTAATTTAAAAGATACACTTTCAAACCTGAGGACAAAAACTGAAAAAAAAATTCATGCCAGTGGTAGATCTGGTTAGCTGAAGCTCAGTGAAAAGTAGATGAAAAGTTGAGGAGGCATCAACAGCAAAGATGAGGCTGTCACCAGATCTCTGTTTAGTCCAACTAAACTATCTAGCCCAACTGCAGGGAACAAAGAAGATGTGCTCTTTTGTTCTTCTTTCCAAATATGCAAAAACTAAGATGAACATTTAAGTCAAATTTAGGGAAAGAAATGTCTCATAAGTCAGTGCTTTTGTTTGATTGTTTTTTTCTTTTTTCTTTGTTTTTTCTTTTCCTTAGCATGGATCCCATGTCATATGCACAGTTGAAGAGGCAAGCTGGGAACCAGGATTTTAAAAATGGAAATTACTCTATGGCCATCAAAAACTATGATGAAGCTCTACAAACTCTTGGTTATTTAATGCAATGGATCCCGTAAGTATTCTTGAATTATGAGATGTAAACCATAAGATGTAAACCATAAACCTGAAATATGCAAATATGTACAGTTGAACAGTTAATTCAAAACTCTATTTTTTGACCTAACACTTTCTTTTCTTGTATCTTTTTTCAAACTTTTTAGTGTACTAGTTTTATAGTTATTCTGTTCCTTACATATATGTGAGAATAATTAGTGACTTAAATATTAATATTTTTGTATAAATATCAATAATAAATTGGTGCAATTAATGTTCAAATTAATTTTTCATAAACTGCTCTGGCTTCTGTTAAATTACTTTTGTTTCTAAGCTGACATGTTGTGGATTAATCCTGTTGTGATTTTGCCATGTCCTGGCGTGTTGTTACATGAATCATCTGGTTATCTTTAAAATGATTTATGCAGGCTACTTTGTTCTTGTTTTTGGTCATTCTCAGTATTCTGAGAATTGTTAAAAATAAATTTTCAGCCAAAGATTCCTTTGGGTATTTCTTTCCAGATGTTAAGTGCTTTTCATCAGTTAATATAAGCTGGTAATGCTATTAATGATTAAATAGTTGAGTATTACGTTAAGTATTAAATATTCATTACTGCTCTATATTAACACTGCTGTTGACCTAATTTAACACTGGCCACTTACTTATTTTAAATGTGGATTTTTCTGCTGACTTCACCAAGTGGTGATACACTAAAATGTGTTTTTTGGTGACCAGAATGTGTTTAGTACTCTTTCCATCACACAGCTTCCATTCCTGGCTTTCGCTGAGCCATATGCAGGTGTATCCAGGTGGTCTGAACTCTTGCTAAATCCTCATACTTCATTATTCCAGTGGCTTGGCTTTCTGCTTCAGAAGAGACCAGGTCATCACTATGGGTATCGCTAAAGTATCATTAGGATGTCTCTAAGACATTTTACAGCCAATATTCAAATTTTATTTATTATCCACAGCTACATTTTTTACCTCTGATTTTGTCAGGTGGGTGATATGTGTAGTTTTTTTTCATTTATTCATATTGCTAAATGTAAAGTGTGATCCTTTTTCAAGTGAATAAACAGTAATGCTAAAACCATATCTTTAGGTGTTCCCGGGACATAGCTGTGTTGCTGTGCAACAAATCAACGGCCTTGTTCTGCCTGGGTAAATGGAAGGATTCAGTGGTTTTAGCCCACCAAAGCTTACAGTGGGATCCAGAGTATGTTAAGGTATTCAGATGCTTAAGCTGGCAGTTTTTGCATACCTTCCTGCTTTTTTTGCTTTTTTTTTTTTTTTTTTTTAATAATGGTGTCATTATCTTCTTTTTTTATTGTGTTTTTGCTTTGGGGCATGATGAGTAAATGTAGCATAAAATCCCAGAATTAGTGTTTGATTCTACTCATAAGCATCAGATTCATGGCTGTAATAGTATTTTTAATGATGTGAAGCAGCTCCCTTTTGCACCAGGAGATGCTGGCTCTCTCTGGGTCCCAATGAGAGAGGTACCAATGCTTTCAAGAAATGAAACTATCAATATCCCAAATAAGGGTTACATGTTAATAAGCCTTCACTTCCTGGGAGTGATATTTGGTGATCGAGGTCATGTTGTATTTCCAGTGAACAGAACAATACACTCCACTTGGCTTGTGATTAAATACACATTGATTAAGCACACCTTGGCTCAAATAGCCATCTGTTAGGAATCAGCAGGAGCTGTACAGTATTTATGATATGGAGTCATACTTTTAGATTGGCTTTTATATGCAATAAATAGTTTTCTGTTCTAAACACTAAAGACTCCCAGGGCCTGTAGTAGGTTTTTTTATTTAGATATGGTAAAATTACATCAAAATGCCCATTTAACTTGCATTGTGTTGCAACATACCAGTTATCTGATTTGAACAAATTAACTCCACTGTGACTCTGAGCTGGTACAATCTAATTCAGGGTGAATATAAATATGTTCAGGTGCTATTGGCTGAAGAATATATGTATTGTGGGAAATGCTACAAAATGCAATGATGTGGAAACATAAATACATATTCTGGACAGCCCACTCTTGTCCAGAGGAGGTTAACATACAGCTGCTGAAAGTATGTTTTCCATCCTGTAGTTGTTTTCCAAGCTTTGAATTTCAGAATTTCACCTTTAGTATCTGTGATAATATCAGTAACATGCTGTGAATTTCAAGGGATTAGAATAGAATAGTTCATTTCACTTTTTTTTTTTTTTTTGGATCTGTGTTTAAGAAGCTGTAGAAATAGTACTACATGTCATTTTTATAACATAATGAGAAAATTTAAAAAATACTTTTTTTTTTGGCAGTAAATATCTCTGAATATTTTTCCAATATCTTTTTTCTTCCTTTTTTTTTCAGGCTTACTATAGAGCTGGCCATGCATTCATCATGTTATCAAAGTCTCGTGAGGCAGTTTCTATGTTCCACAAAGGTCTTGTTCTCTTGAATTCTTCTGCAGATCAAACTCAAATTGCTGAGTTCATAGCAGGAATCTTCATAAGTGTAAATGGTAAACTCAAATTAAGACCTTAATTTTTCTATCAGGCTTTTAATAGTGATGATGAGACTTAGTAGCATGAACTACTAGTGAACTTGGTCCAGTTTATATACAGCAGACAGCATCAATCTCAAAACAATTATGGACTGGTTAGAAAAGGTAAAAATTTAGAGTCAGGAAGACAAGATTGGAGATTTGGAGCTCTAGATGCCAGAGGCTTTAAGTGGGTTTTGTCCAGGCCACCCTCCTTTTCTTTAAGCCAGGTAGATTGAAAATAATTAGAAGATGGGCTGTTTAAATGTTTTTACAGTGCAGTGTATTTCAGTGTGGAGGACTTTCCCTCAGCTAGTAGTGGACAGCAATGAGAAGAGGAAATGTGGCCTTCCTGTGGCACTGTCTAGGTTTTTTCCAGCAACGTCCATCGTCTGTCTCCCTGCCCTCTCCTCATTCTCTCCCCCTCTACTTGCTTTTTAGTCTGTTTAATGTGCTTTGTATGATGGACCTACAGGCATGCCAGGAGATTTCAAGTTGTGCCCCTGCTGCCTTTTCTTGAGCCTGTAGCCCCATGTTAAGGTCTTTGATGAGTCAGTAGCTGGTTGACCTGTAAGTGGAAGAATTGCCGTGAGGTTTGCAATGCCCTGGGGTTTTGAGGTGTTTCTAGAGAGCAGGGGTTGATTTTTTCCTGCTTGTTTAATGAAGTCTGGCCACTGATAAACTAGGTGCTGAATCAGTTGGGTGACCAGCTTTTCTTAATCCCCCACTGGGCAATCCCCTGGGTATTAACCAGTGCTAAAATTATTGCTGTGCAATGAAGTAATTTAGTTGGACACTCGGACCTTTGAAGTGCTGCGTGTACCAAATAGTTTTCTCTATTGCTTATCCTTGCAGATGAACGATTCTTGCCACAAACTTTCCACCCTGCATATGATCATATTTTCAGTGCACGTTTCAATGCACTGATTTGGCAAGCAGTGATAGAAAGGCTGGCCCAGAAAGGGAAGTGGCGGGTAAGTGTGTCACTGTGTCACCGCGTTACCGTGTCACCTCCCACTGCATCTTGGGCATTCATGTCTTACCACTTCAGTATAAGCTCATGTTACCTTTAAAAGCCAAACTTGAATGTATAGTACTGCCTAATTCAGATGTCATGATTTTTAAGACTTGGAAAAATGCTTTTAGTGAAAAGTAATTTCTGAAAGTCATTTCTGAAAGGGATATAATGGACCTGAAATCCTACTTGTCTCCTGCTGCTGTCTGTTGTCTCTCTAATAGTAACACCTAGAGTCACTATTCAGTTCAGTAATACTCAAATTAGAGGGGAAAAAAAATACAAATTTATTTGTGGTCCTTTTTACTTCTCCTTTTGTATGAAAAGCTGTATTTTTGAAACTGTCTGTGAAAGACCCACAATTAGAGGAGCATTTCAGTGGAAATACAGGGTTGTTGAACAAAACCAGATAATTTAGAAAATTCAGAAGGCGGATGATCTGAAATAACTTTAATCCTCTCTCAAATAACTGTGGAAAAAATTGGTCATTGTCATAGTTACACCTGTCTGGGGTGTTGGTGTTGAGGTGCTGGCAGATCCCCTGTAAGGAATAAGGAGTGGCCAAAGCTGTGCCACTTCCAGCTGGCTCCTACAGTCCTGTTCTAGGGCCTGGCTCAGCCAAGGTGGTGGTGCCTCAGAGAAAGTGTCTTTTCAAAAGGGCCAAACCCTGCCTGAGAGAGTGAGGGGGAAAGAGTGAGAGAAACAGCCCTGTGGGCCCCTGGGGTGGAGAAGGAGGAGGAGGTGCTCCAGGCCCAGAGCAGGGGGCTCCTTTGCAGCCTGTTGCAGGCAAAATGAAAGCTTCAGTTGAGGTTTGTCAGGGAAACCCTCCTGTTGAGTCATAAGGTTCAGACCCACTTGCTTTCTGAACTCCTCAGAGAGGCATCTAGATGCAGTTGGATCCCAACCTACTCCCTGACTTGCTGAATGGTTTATGTTTAAAGGATAATATACATGTAATTGAGCCTTTGTCCCACAGGATTAAGAATGGCAAACCAAATATATCTATGTGAATAAAATAAATAACGTATTTAAATTCATGATAATGATCAGACTAAAATACTTTAATCAGAATTATTTACTGCACGCTACAGATAGTTATAACAGTTAGTAAATATTATATAATAATATATACACTATATAATAATGCACTATTTATTGAAGCAATATTGAAGCATTGGTATTAAAGACTGCAGAATAGTTATTTAGTAGAGATTGATGCTACTCACCCATGCCAGTGGCCATGAGCAAACCTCTTTTGCTCAGCCTCCAGAAGTAACCTTGAGGGGAATCTCCACTCAAGGGAGGAATCTCCGCACACATACAAAAAGGGGTATGTTAGAACACCCTGCTTTTAAAAAGTGTGACCATACTTTTATAGTATAAAGTGACTGTCAGTCATATGTTTCTAGGCTGGCTGTGTCAGCTTAGCAGCTTTAGATAAGTTATCAGTAGTATCAGCTGTTAGGAACTTTGCTGCTTTGTCACTGGTGGCAGTTTCTGTCAGGAAACATTGTTTTTCACACCCTCAGCATGTCTAACTTTGGGATTGATGAGTCAGGCTGGTCTCAGCGTTCTTCAAGACTGCAAGCAGTGTGACCCTCCCTTCTCTATCCATCACTGATAACTTTTACAAATAAGATAAAGTTCAAGCTGTTTTACCACAACTTAGGGCAGAGTATCCTACTAGACTCTGCTTAGGCAGAGTAGCTTGTGGAGAGACCATGAAGGAACAGGCTTCTGACAGTAGCCACAGCCTGTGGAGGACCTGCACTGGAGCTGTGGACTCACTGGAGCCCCACATTCCCCATCCAAGCCCTACTCTGGGCAGGGACATCTTCCACTAGGTCAGACTGCTTAAATGCCAGATGAACCAGACCTTCAATGCTCTTAAGAATGCAGCGTTCAGAGCTTTTCTGGGCAGCCTGTTCCAGTGCCTCACCACCTGTATCATAAAATTTTTTTTCCTTTTGTCCAATGAGAACATACTGTCAGGTTAAAATTTTTGCCTGTTGTCCTGTCACGAAGGCTTTGTTAAAAAATCTTTTTTCTAAGCCCGCTTTTTATATTGACCATATTTCAGTAAGTTTTCCCTGAAACCTCTAGGCTGAATAACCCCAACTTTCTCAGCCTTTCAGCGCAGGAGAGTTGCTCCATCCCACTAATGATTTTTGTGGCCCTCCTCTGGACTCGTTCCAGCAGGTCCATGTCTTTTTTGTGCTGGGGGACCCCGGAGCTGGTTGTAACATTCCAGGTTACAGCAGAGAGAGACTCTCAGCAGAGCAGAGAGGTAGAGTCACTAACCTACTGACCATGCTACTTTTCCTTGCAGCTCAGGATACTGTTTGTTTTCTGGGCTGCAAGCACACATTGCTGGCTTTTATCCTATTTTCCATCCATCATTATCCCACAGGTCCTCCTTCCTCAGTCTGTATTGATACTGGGTATTGCCCTGACACAGGTGAAAGACCTTGCACTTGGCCTGGTTGAACTTCCTGCAGTTCCCATGGGCCTGCTCCTCAAGTCTGTCAGAGTCCCTTTGGATGTCATCCCTTCCCTTGAGCATTATCAACTGCATCACTCAGCTTGGTGCCATCTGCAAACTCCCTGAGCGACTGAGGGCAGCCCACAATCCCACTGGCAGTGTCATTGATGAAAACAATGAGTGTACTGGTCCAGGCGCTTGAGGGACACCACTCACCACTGGTTTCCACTTGGACACTATGCCACTGACTACAGCTCTTTGGATGCAGCCATTCTGCCAATTCCTTACCCATCCAACAGCCCATTCATTGAACTGGTATCGCTTCAATTTAGAGCTAAGACTCTTGTGGAGCACTGTATCAAAGGCCTTACAGAAGTCCAGGTAGATGGCATCCATCTACCTGGACTTCCCTTGTCTTCGGTGAAGTTAAGTGGGTTTTCAAGGAGAAAGGCAAAGTTTTTGAGAGAAATGGAGAAAACAGAGGAAAGCAGCAGAAGATACTTCTTCTGAAGTAGAAGAAATTATTTAATTTCTTGCTTTCTGCTTGGGATGTTGGTGTTAGCTGGGCAGTCTTGTCCCCAATGCAAGGGTCCATTCCTAAAGCAAAGGGTTACTTCCAAGCATTGGAAGTATTTGAAGTATTGGAGAATCTTTTAGAGCCTAACCTTTTTAACATGGTTTTTATTTCTGAGGAAACTTTCATTGCTTGTAACTTCCTACACTCCACTATATATTACATTATTCAGTTGAAAATTAGAAATGGAGATTCAGTTGTGATATTACAAAAAGATCTGAAATATTGTTGTCCTGTGTTGGCTTTCTCACAAGATCTGATGAGGCTGTGAAAAACAAAGTTTTGAGTGTGCTAATATAAGAGCATTAATGTCTGGGGTTTTTTTTAGTCTTGTCTGTTGTTGTTGCCTGAGAAGAAAGAGTTGCCCCGTGATCTCAGAGTTAACCAGATATCTCTGAAGAATCTCTTTGAGGTAAGTTCATGTTTTTTATTTTTACCTTGTATCTATTTCTTTTCTTCCTGATAACTTTAGTGAGAGATTTTCCATCTTGAACCAAGAAAAATAAAATGAAAAATAATACATGGACATTATATGATTCCATTTTATCATCTATTTGTTTGAAAATTTGACTTTGTGTAATGTAATATTTCTGAATGAAATTTAGTATTTCCAAATGTATTAGTATTATGAAGGTGTAGTTGGAGGCTGTTGCTGGGAGTTCACCAGCTCTGCAGCTCAGGAGAAGCCAGTTTCCATAGCAGTAACACACCAGCTTTCTAAAGGCATCTCACAATATTTGTGAGAAATTAAGAAATTCCACTGGGCATTACCATAGAGTCCTAGAATGCTGTGGGTTGGAAGGGATGTTAAAGATTGTCTAGTTCCAGCCCCCTGCCGTGGGCAGGAATACCTTACACAAGATCAGGTTGCTCAAAGCCACATCCAACCTGGCTTTGAACTCTGCCAGGAATGGGGCATCCACAACTTCTCTGGGCAACCTGTTCCAGTGCCTTACCACCCATACAGTAAAGAATTTCTATATTTCTTGCAGTTTCTGTCTTGTCAGGAACTTTAGAAGATGTTAGCTGTAGGCTACACAGTACCTCTGCTTGGTAACTAGCTGGCAAGTTACAGTTTGTTGGTGTATGAATACTAGACTCACAAGCTGAGAGCAAAATGAATCTGTTTATTGCAGAGCTTAGACAGTACTTACACACTTAGTGTGAGAGTCTTTGTTCGTGCAGCATGGTTGTAGGCCTGTAATAAATCCATCAGCCTGACAGTTTGTTAGTTTCCTCAAGGTTTGCAGGCTTGGAAGGAACAGGATGCCTTTTCTGTTGTCAGATCGTGTGTACTTTCTCTTGTGCTTCCCAGGTTTTTTTTTTTCAGTGTCAGGCTCTGCTGTTTCTCACAAAGGTTTAAGTCATATTGGTGGAATATGCTAGAATTTGCCATTTGGCTGTTACGGTCCTTGTGGTACTTTGGTCATAATAATTTCAAATTGGTGGTTTTTCCATAATTATATTTCATTTAGGTACCTGACAGAGTGTGCAGGAGTAATTCTGAGGGTAATGCAAGGGAAATAAAGTCACACCTCATCACAGGCTTGTTTTTAGAGATAGCAGAAGAATTAGTGACTGGATGTATGCAAGCATGTCTTGGTTGGGTATCATTAGGCAGGTGTGCAAGCACAGTAACTCCACACTGGCAATGATGTGTGGCAACACAGGAGAAGACCCACGCAGAGTGTCTTAGCAAAGTGTCTTCCAGCAAAGCAAAATGCCTCACTGAGACAGGAAAAATGGGCAGGCTTTGCAAAACAGTATGGCCATTTTTTCATTGAATTGGCCCAACCAATCTTACCTGGTCTAGTGGGTTTGTTGTACTGAAAGAATCAAGATGAAAAATCCCTAAGTACCAATTCTCCTTTGCAAAAATTAGAAAATGTGGCTTTCTGACAGCTCAAACTTCCCCTGCTGCTGCTACATTCTCCCTGTAATCTGTTGTACTTTGATTTGATAACTGTGCTCAAAGAGTAATTCTTGCCAGTCAAAATTTGGCATGAGGTATTAGAAAAAAGGATTTATTTGTAAATGTTGGAAGCATGTGTGAAGACTGCTATTTAAAAAGATGACTGGCACAAATGGAGAAGTTTTGTCTGAACACTGTTTCCGACCACCTCCTCATGTCCTGATCCTTCTGGCATATTGTCTGAATTTCTGAGTTTCCGCTGCACACCTCCAGGGTATCCTGTATTGCTATACCCCTTGCAGACTGTGCTTCAAGTTCATTAAATCCTTGCTAGAACATACTTTTTAAGTTCAGCTGGCTTTTGCGCAGGTTGTATGCTTTTTCAGAATCCCAGAATCATCAAGGTTGAAAGAGACCTTCAAGGTCAACCCAGCACCGCCATAATCACCCCTAAAACCTAAGTACCACATCCAGATGCCTCTTGAGTTCTTACAGAGATGGTGACTCCAGCACCTCCTTGGGTAACTTATTCCAGTGCCTGACCACTCTTTCAGTCAATATTATTTTCCTAATATCTGGTCTGAACCTCTGCTGAAACTATTTAAAGCGGTTTCTTCTCCTTCTTTTGGCTGGGAGATGTTGAAAGGGACCAGCCCCCAACTGGCTACAGCCTCCTTTCAGGAACCTGTAAAGAGCAGTGAGGTCTCTCCTCAGCCTCCTTTTCTCCAGGCTAAACAATCCCAGTTCCTTCAGCCTCTCCTCATCAGACTTGTGCTCCAGGACCTTTCACCAGCTCCATTGCCTTTTTCTGGACACACTCCAGCACTGCAATGTTTTTCCTGTAGTGAGTGACCCAGAACAGAACGCTGGATTTGCGGTGTGGCCTCACCAGTGCCAAGTACAGAGGGACAATTGACACCCTGGTCCTACAGGTCACACTATTCCTGACATCAGCTTTTTGGGAGTGAGTCCACCAGAGGAGGCCACCAGGATGATTAGAGGAATGGAGCACCTCTCCTGTGAGAAAAGGCTGAGAGAATTGTAATTTGTCAGCCTGGAAAAGAGAAGGCTTTGTGATGCCCTAATTGTGGCTTCCAGTACCAGAAGGGAGCCCAAAAGAAAGACAGTGATTTTTTACAGGAGCACATGGTGACAGGACAAGGGGGAATGGATTCAGACTGAAAGACAGTAGGTTTAGATTAGCTATCAGGAAGAAATTATTTACTCAGAGGGTACTGAAGCACTGGAATGGGCTGCCCAGAGAAGTTGGGGATCCCTGGAAGTGTTTGAGGTTGAAGAGAGTTCTGACTAGCCTGGTGTGGTGAAAGGTGTCCCTGCCTGTGGCAGGATGTTGAAACAAGATGATATTTAAGGTCCCTTCCAACCCAAGGCATTCTGTGGAAGTCTATGAAATAAATAGTTCCATTTTACAGTGGCTATGGCTTGGTTGTTGTTGCACTGCTGATTCTTGTCATGAAAATACTGAAAAAGAAATGCTTTTTGTGTATGTAAAAATGATGAGTTGTAACTGTTCTCTTTGCTGCCAGACATCTGAGTTGTATGGTCGCGGTGAGAAGCTGCAGGAAGTCGCGGAGTTAGTCAAGTGGCTGATTTCCATTGGGGCGAAGGCTGAGTCCATCGGGCTGTATCCTCTGCATGCTGTTATCAGACTGTGTATCAAAGCAAGTGAGTGACAGCTGCAGCTGAAATAAATCAGTGCTGGCTTTTATCAGAGAACTGACAGCTAGACCTTTTTTAAATTAGAAAAATATGTCCCAACAGCTCAGGTCAGATCATCTAGGTATAACCTTGCCCATGCCAATAAAGCACTCTTTTAGAAGTGTTCTAAACACTCTCTTCGAACACCCATGCCTGATAGTAGTGGAAACCTAATATAATTGTTATTTTCTGTATTTTGGAGCAGAAGTGTCATTGATACGGGTCTTTTGTAACCCGAGCATATCAGCTTCAAAAAAGGTACAGTGTTTCTTTCCGCCGTCTCAGTGTGGAGCAACAGTTTCTTTGTGTGTAATAGAGTCATGGATCAGCCTTAGATTTGCATCTTGCCACTCCAAAGGGGAAAACAATCCCAGGATCTGTTTCTTTAAGTGTGCTTTTTTATCTTTTCAGCAAAGAACCATCTCTTCAGCTGGTTACTGACTTCGAGGCCAGAGCTGAAGGACAGGATCAACCAGAAAGACAGAGATGGACAGACCTTGCTGCATATTGTGGCCTCTTCCAGTGAATATTCACAGAAACGCAGTAAATACTTTTCTTCTTCTTTTTAGTGTGTGTATTGTTCATTTTCATATGGAAAAATCTATAATGGAAGAAAATTTCAGACCCTGGTGTTTTCTATTTCATGCTAAGGAATAAAATGAGAAAGTATCTGAATGTAGACTTGTAGTGGCAACTGATACTTAAACATTACAATAATTCTTTTTTAAATTGTAAACATTTTTGCTCTTTGTTTTTTTGGCTAGGATTTTCTCACAAGTATGCTGCAGTTTTTAGAATCATAGAAGTTACCTTTTAAATTTCATTGTGCCCTTTAAATCACATCACACCACCTGGAGACCTGAAACAAAGAGTTTTAAATCTAACAGCAAAAACTGTGAGATGAACATTCCTAATAACAATTTTGAGTCAGAATCAGGAACATATTGAGAATTCATTTGCCATAGACATGTTCAAAGAAACAAGAATTCTCACTCATTTCTATACAATATAACATCCAATGTTTTTTTTTGTAGACAGTCCCAAAAGCCAGCCCAATTTATTGTATTATGGTGTAGGTGTTTTGTTCCTCTTAATTCCCACCAGAACATCTCATTTATCTTCTTTTTTAATGGATAACCCAAGTTTTATCCAGCTAAACAACGCTTTATTACATTTGCTGTCCTGGTTAGACAATTACAGTTAAGTTTTCTGGGGTATATAAGCCTATGAAGTGGCTCCCTTACTGCACCTGCAGTGTATTAATCAAGTTTTCTGGGGTGTATAGGCCTTTGACTCCTTAACTCTCTCAATATATCTTTCTTGTTCTGTGGCATTTAATTCATCTCTAGTTATATGACAGCATTAAACAATCTTCTATTGAATTTTGTTCTTCAACTATTGATTAAGTTCTCTAAGGGGTATGGGTCCATTGAGTTCCTTTCTGCAGGTCAGTGAGGTAATTTCTCAGGATTTTCTACTGTCACTCAGCCAACACAGATGTAAATAAAAACCAGATAAAATAGCATGTTGTTGAACATTCCTTAGCTAAGTAAATATAGTTCAGTACAAAATTTTTAAAGGACCACAAAATTCCTGGCTGACTAAGATGTATAACTTGTTGTCAAGCCTCTCCTGTTCTTTTAAATCGCTGAAAATTTAAGGCCTGGATAGCAGTGTGCCTTGACAGAGGAGGAAAACTAAATGCTTTCCTTCACAGTTTCTGTGGGATTTCATTTTATGTTACCTTGGCTTTTTTCCTTGTATTTCTTACTCTGCCCACAAGGTGGCAAGAGGAAGCAAACATCAATGCCAAGGTAACACCAGACTTTTGGGTGCTTAAAATTGATTTGGTAATATTCATATGGTATTTATTATGTAGAGAGCACATGTTTTTAATATGTATTTATTTATTAACATTTATGTCTTTATGTATTATATATAATGTTATAAAATGTAATTTTATATGTATCTTTTAAACATATTTATATATATCTGTTATAGTTATATAAAATAAATACTATAAATCATGAAATCACAGAATCATTAAGTTTGGAAAAGGCCTCTGAGATCTTCAAGTCCAACCTTTGACCGATTTCCACCCTGTCAACTTATAACACTGAAAGAATTTAGATTTTTTAAAGTTAAAATTACGCTCAAAATAGTGCCAGGTAATTAAAAATAAAAAAGAAAACAGAACAAAACTGCTGAACAATGTGAATTATTCTTCCTCTAATTTTTTTTCATGTATTGCTTTAGGACAAACAGAAGATGTGATCATGCTCCTGAACTTTGGGGTTGATCCCACTGTTCCAGATGCACGGTCAAGATGTGCCATAGATATCTTAAAAAAGAACAAAAACTTTGATGCTGCAAAAGAAATCAGCAAGCACATTGAGAAACACACTTCCTCTGGGAAACAGAAAGGTACTGCATGCAGTGTGTGCTTTTCCTGTTTTAAAATTATAACCTTTAGGTACAAGATAGTTTTATTTCAAATAAGTAATTGCGGGTGTGTTTTGTGTAGCTTTCCCTGTGGGTTGTCACTGTGATCTCCTGCCAGTCAATCATGAACATTTTGTCCTTGCTTGAGAGCAGCTGCTGTCCAAGTGATGTTCAGATCAAGCTTGGCATAAAGCAAAGTATTTGAGCTGTATCTCAGTTTTCATGGGTGTATTGCTTTAAGTTTATTGGACAACACTGGGTTTCATTGTGCTTGAATCTTATGGCTCCTGGGAAAGAAATTCCCACAGGTTTTTTTTCTTTACTGTGGAGATCTCTGCTCTGGAGAAGGTTTTAGCACAGTGGTTATCCATTAGGAGGTTAACACCAATACCTTTGTGGTAATAATGGCTTTGGTTGGCATTTCAGGTTGCACTGTCTTTTGTGGCCAGGGGTTTTTTGGTTTTTGGTTTTTTTTTTGGTGATGCACAGCCTGCAACAGTTTTCTAAGCTTAGTGCAAATGTGAGGCTGGAGAATAAGCCTCAGCTTTACAGGTAACAATCTGAGGTTAGTCCTTCTTTCTAAAAAGATGACCAACCTTGTCTCTCTCTTTGTCCTAAGAGGTAAAGCTACTGTTTTGTTTTGTCTTTCATGTACCTGGATTCCTTAAAGCATTTAGGAAATCCAAGCCAACTTTTTTGCTGTTTGAGGGCATTTATTGGGACATTGTTTAATATCTGCTATTTCCCATTACATAAATATCTCTTAAACTTGTAGATAACATTTTGGTTTGGTGTATGTTTTTGGGTTTGTTTTTTAACTTTAAGAGGAAATTCTTTTATGGCTGTAGATTTTAAGTGGCACTGGGGAATCAGACAAGCTGATTTAAAGTGTATGCTATGAACATTACTGGGTTTAGTCATCCACTTTAAAAATTCTGAACAATGATATAATTGCAGCATTTTCCTGCCTGCATACAGAAGCTATTGCAGTCAGCCTTGTGAATTATGGTAAATAGAGTCGTGGTTTTACCTCAGCTGCCAACTAAGTACCAAGCAGCAGCTCCCTTGCTTCCCCTCCCTCCCATTGTGGGTTGAGATAAGAACAGTTTAAAAATGGAAATAAAGTAAATTACTACCACTATTATTATTATTATTATTATTAAAGTTATGAAAAGGAGAAAGAGGAATAAAACCCATGAAACACAAGTGATGCACAGTACAATTGCTCACACCCCTCTAACATGATGCCCAACCCATCCCCAAGCAGCAGTGGTCCCTTCATGGCTAGTTCCACATAGTTTATATAATGAACATGACATTTTGTGATATGGAATATCCCTTAGGCCAGTTCATGTCAGCTGTCCCAGCCATGCTTGTCTCAGGGTAAGCACTGCTCAGCAACAGGCAAAGCATCAGTGTGCTATCAATGGTATCCTCATCCTACATCCAGAGCATGGTACTGTACCATTTACTAAGAAGAAAAATAACTCTATCCCAGGCAAAACCAGGACAAGAGTGTATTTGTTGAAAGTATCAAATTTCCTTTGAGGTCAGAAATCTATCACAGTACTGGCATTTGGCAGTGAGAGTTTCAGCCATCTGTTTTTAATTTGCCACTACACATTTCTTAGAGCCCTGGGATGTAATGCATCACAGTCTTGCCCTGAAAACATGCTGGCAAGGAAGTGGATTTTCAATTTCTGTAATGTTTTGCAGGAGAGAATGAGAGTGCCACAGCTGATACAGATTCTCTCCAGGATGTTTTGGAACAGTTTGTCCAGTTCTACAGGTGTGAAAATGGAGTACATAATAAAAATGTATTGAAGGAAGATGCAGTTAAACGATTTCTGAAATGGCTGTCTTCTGTGAAAGGTGCAGTGAGTTTCCATTTCTCCCTTTGACAAAACTTAATTGCTGTGAAAAATGTGTCTGGTGCTAACATAAATTAAGTGCCCTTTTACCCTTCCTTCTCTTATCTGTTTCTGTAACTTTTAGGACTGATGTGCTTTTAATTATATTTAATGTTGTGTTTTGCACTTAAAACCAATGGAATATGCACAGAAATCCATGATGCATCAAAATGCTCAAACTTGGCTGACAGCATAAGGATGGAAAGATATATTTTGATGTTCCTTACTTTCAGTTTAACAAGCTAATTATTCTGAAATTAGTTTACAGTGAGGTGGAATTCATTATATGGCTTTGAGTGAGTTATGTTGTCTTAACTGTCTTGCAGAAATCCCTGAAGAAATCTCATGTGACATCTCCAATGCCTGTGCTAACAGCTTCATAAAACAATTGCTGGGGAAGCAAATGTGGCATAAAGTTTTGCTGCTCCTAACAGGGACAGTCAGTGGGGAAAATCCATCAGGTGGAGGACTCTTCAAAACCTGCAGTCTCTCAGATGTTGACATTGGCAGCATTATCCAACAGACTGAACAAATGGATAAGCAAGTGCAGCTCATAAGATGCTTGCTCGAACGAGGAGGTGAAAAACTGTGATATTAATGTGCTATAAGAGATGCAGTATGTTATTTGACATGTTGGGAGCAAGATTGTCTCAGAAATACCAACACATGGTTTTTTTTATGGCTCTGTATAAGTGCAGCAGCTTGTTGGAGCACATGCATTGGCTGCATCTGCTGTGTGGGACATGGAGAAGCTAGTAAGGCTACATGGGTGGAAGATGTTTATCAAATGAAATTTATCTGCTAGGGTTAGTAAAAGGCCAAGGACTATCGTTGTTCCTGCACTTGTAGTTTCTCTTGGGCCTTAATTTCTCTGCCTTCAGCCAAAATATTGTCCTGGTAGAAAGTGTAAGCCACAGTCTTTGAGTTCAGTCTGCTGTTATGCTACAAGGAACGGACTACTTCATTGATTACAAAGGCATGACCAGATGTCTTTCTGTTTTTAACTAGTGTAGACATCATCATACTTGTTTTGTATGAGCTTATTCCTAGGATCCCTCTGGTGTATTTCATTTAATCTCACAGCTTGATGCGAGCTATAAGTTATGGACACATGGTACTGCTGAAACCTTTTGAATGCCAGGAGAGGAAGGAGGCCTCTTATGTCAGTCAGTGACTGACTGACTTGGAGAAGATATGTTCTGGCCTTTTTGTCTTCCTGTCACAGCAAAGGGACTGGTTGCTCAGCTTAATGGGAGACAAGGAGAAATGATGAAGATATTCTTAGTCAAAAAGTGTTTTAACAGTTACGTGTAAAAAGCTGGCAAAAAACACCCCTGTCACCTGCCTGGCAATCAGCATCTGACTGCATCTGTTCAGAGCTTTCTGTAGTTAGCAGATTAGTGTATTAGATTTAAACCCTAATATTTTCCTGTCCTTCACACCAGCTCTGCCTGATGGTATTGGAGCCAGCTCTGAAATACCACTGAAAATATGCCTCAGAAAGAATTATTTTGAACTGGCATATTTGCTGCTGACCAAAGGTGCAGACCCTCGAAACCTCTCTGTTACACAAGGAGATACTGCCTTGCATGCTGCAGTTTTCATCTCTTTAAATAATAAAGGTAAGGCTTTTGCTGCTGAAAACATCCCCATTCTGTACCTGCCTGTTCTGCTGCTGCAGAGACAGTGGATCAGGATTTGTGACTGTGTCTCACTCAGCCCCCAAAGTCTGCAGGGCAGAGGACACACACCAGTCTGTTAAGCTGATGTGTTCTGTTTTGTGGCTGTGCTGGCTGGGACTGTGAGGAGAGGTAATGGCAGCTCAGGTGACATGGGGCAGCCAAGGAAGGCTCCTCTCTGAAGCCCTGTGAAATGAGTGCTAGGTGGGAATGAAATAAACTGGATGTATACTGGAAGAAACAAGGGTAAAGTTGCAGCAATGGCAGCAGGCTTTGAAGGAAAGCCTGCAGTGGCATCTGAAATCTGTTTATCAGGTTTTTTCAGTCAAAAATCAAGTAAAGTTCTGTTCAGGGGAAAAGGGAGTGAAAGAACTGTAGGGCTTACATAAAAATACATAAAGTTAGGATAAACTGTGAAATTAAGCTCCCAAATCACATTTGATTTTAAGTTAAGAAAAAAAAGCATTTTTGAGTTGAAGTATTAAAGTGATTCAAAATACTTAATTTATTAATTTTTAAAGCACAAACATTTCATTGAGTGGCTTTAAGAGATTAAAAGGTAATGCCAGTTGTCATTTTAAATCAGAAGATTAAGAAGTCCTGTGACAATATGTTCTCTGAAGTATTTTTCAGTGAGTAAAGTTTTTGATGTGCAATTTCTTTACAGTGATTTTGACGTGTCACTGTTTTACAGCTAGAAAAGAAATGTTTCACATATATTGTCTCATTTAAATCACATCTATTATCTGGATGAAATCCAGAAAGCTGTAGAATATAAATGTATTTTTTTCCCCCCAGGGAGGTAACTAATCTTATTTTGTAGGAAGTTGCTCCAGGGACCTCGAATATCAGGAAACAATTGGGATTTCCTGCAGGTTATTTTAGTGAAGCAAAGTTATCTGCAGCAGACTGCTTCTGGGTGCGTTATTACAGTGAACCAAATGACCCCAGAGCACTACCTTGAGCTGCTGCTTGTCTGGATGACAGGTGACCAGTGTCCCTTGGGTAGCAGTCAGGGCTGATGTTGGAAAATGAACAAACCTGTCTGTACCCAGAGGTTAAAAAAAGAAATTAAATTGACTGATGCTATGGTAATAATTGCAGCACTAGGAATTTCTAAAGCTTTGCTGCCTTTGTGTTGTTTTCCCTGAAACTTGGGAAAGCTCAGTTTTGAGCTGTTTGATGTAAGCATGTTTTATAAACATGAAATGTAGATTTTATTTTTCTTTTTAAAAGCAACTGATTTTAATTTACTAGCAGCAGAAAAAAAAAGTATTGAAATTGTTGGAATACAATGAAGACTTGTAAAGCAAGTTAGTTTATTTTCTGTTTGTTCTCCTGCTTTCAGATAGCACTGGTTTAAACATTCTGAATTATCTACTTGACCTCTTTGCTTCAAGACCATCTGACTTTCCATATCTTAATCCAAACATACAAGATGACAATGGAAATACAGTGATGCATATTGTTTTCCAGAGAGGATTTTCAAAGCAGACTAAGAGAATAACAGAGTTATTGGCAAAATTTGACATTAACTTTAACATAAAAAACAAATCAGGAAAAGATGTGATGCATAGAATTAAAAAGAGAGATCCACTGCTAGAAGCCTGGAATAATGCTGCACAGGAAAAGAAGAGGCACCGCCAAGACAGAGCAGGGCAGTTGGTTAAAACATCTAAACCCCTTCCAGCCTCTGAGATTTCACAGTCCAAGAGCACAGGGCGTTCTTCATCTGGGCTCTCATTAAAGGCACCGTCCAGCAACACAGTGCATAACGAGTTAAAACCCCCGTGTTCCATAAAAACAAAAAAGGGTCAGTTGGAAAAGCAGGAAACAGAAGGAATAAACAGCCCCTTAACACTGCAGGAAAGTCTCGTGCAGGCAATCACAGCTTTAATTCAGCAACTGAAAGTGAGCGACACCCTGAAAAAGGATCATCCTCTGATGCAAAAGCCGTCTTCAGCCCAGACTAACTCGGAAGAGGAAAGAAGTTCCTTGCAACCTTGTGGAAGCATAGCTCATCCTGAAAGAAAAGGGAATGACTGGGAGAAAAAGAAGGGAAAAGAGGAATTTAGTATGGCCCTGCCTAATGGAGAGAAGGAAGAACTAGAGGAAGAAAAGGGGAAGAGTCTGGATATTGAGGCATATGTGCTGGAGTTTGATAACATGACTTGGGAAATAGAGTGCACTCCTGAAACGCTAAAGACTTTGAGCAGTAAAGCTGTGCCTCATTATCTGAAAGCTAAAACCATAATGACAATTAAGAGGCTAGGCAACGGGGAATGGTCTAGGGGCCTCCAGAAGCCACTAAAACACTTGAAAGCTGATATCCAGCTGTATGAAGCTAAACTGGGCAAAGGTGCAAGAATGCTATGGGAACTTGCCATTGACTTTTCTCCTCGTTGCAGTGAGAGTCCAGAAAAGATCATGGAGACAGAACAGACAAAAAGTTGTTCAGAAAAATCAGGTAGAGTTTACACAGAAATAATTAGAATTTGGGCCATTGTTCTTGACCACTGCAAGCTGAACCGAGCCTTAGAAAATATATGCACTTCTTACAACCGTGGCCTATCCTGCATTTTGAGGAAAAAGCTCAAGGGTATAATCAAAGGACATCAGAGCCACAGTGTGACAACACAGAGGCGTATTCCACGTTGTTATGTTGAAGACATGGAGGCAGAAAAATCAAAAGAGCATACCATGCCTGAGTACTTCCCTCCAGCTAGTGCAGCAGAATTGGAATACAATATAATGAAATTTCACAGCTTCAGTACTAACATGGCACTTAACATTATAAACGATGTGCAGTCTTCCGTTGATTACCCTTTCCGAGTTGGGGAGTTGGAGTACGCAGTGATTGATCTCAATCCAAAGCCTATGGAGCCAATCATTTTAATTGGGCGGAGTGGGACAGGGAAGACAACTTGCTGCTTGTATAGGCTTTGGAAGAAATTCTATTCTTACTGGGAAAAATCCACCTTGGCAGATGGACCTCTGTTGGAGAGGCAGACATGGCAGCAGAGACAGTGCAGTGAGGTTGAAAAAGCTGGTTCAGGGAAGGAAGAGAGTGAACTAAAACACGAGAGTGATGATTCGAGTGAGGAGCAAGTGAGTGATAAGCAAAACCAGGACAGCGAGGACGAAGAGGTTCCTGTGGACGCAGCTGGTGCAGAAATGAATTCATGTGGTGACCATGAAGAAGACCAAACGTGTAGTGCAGAAGCATCAAACAGGCTGGAGCACCTGCACCAGATCTTCGTAACAAAAAATCCCGTCTTGTGCCGAGAAGTTCAGAAGAATTTCATTGAACTTAGCAAGTCTTCCAAGGTGACCAGTCACTTCAAGCCTCTGGACCCAAATATTCACAGGCTACAAGACATTAAAGATGAAAATTTTCCACTGTTTGTCACCTCCAAGCAGCTGTTGCTATTACTAGATGCATCCATGCCCGACCCATTTTTTCCAAGAAATGAAGACGGAAGTCTTAAAAGAGTAATTGTTGGTTGGAGTCCTCAGGAAGACTTGGTTGTACCAAACTGGCAGGATGAGGATGAAGAAGGTAATCTTGATGCAGAACATGGTGATGATGGAGGAGCTGCAGATGCGTGCTCTAAGGAAAGTGATCCTTGGACTTTTGTCACTTTCAGTGTATTTGCAAATGAGATATGGCCAAAAATGATAAAAGGTAAAAGCTTGTACAATCCAGCACTGGTTTGGAAAGAAATAAAATCATTTCTGAAAGGCTCTTTTGAGGCACTGAGTTGCTTTGGGGGCAAGCTTACTGAGGAGCAGTACAAAAAGCTAGGCCGAAAGAGATCACCGAACTTCACAGAAGACAGGAGTGAGATCTATCGCCTCTTCTGTCTTTATCAGCAGATACGATCACAGAGAGGTTACTTTGATGAAGAAGATTTGCTGTATAATTTATCTCAAAGACTTTCAAAGCTCAGGGAGCTGCCGTGGTCCATCCATGAGTTTTATGGCGACGAGATACAGGATTTCACGCAAGCTGAGCTAGCCCTGTTAATGAAATGCATCAATGACCCCAATGCCATGTTTCTAACTGGTGACACTGCCCAGAGCATAATGAAAGGAGTTGCTTTTCGTTTTAGTGACCTGAGGTCACTGTTTCATTACGCAAGCAAGAGCTCTGTGAACAAGAAGCAGCGTGTTAGGAAACCGAAAAGGATATATCAGTTGTACCAGAACTACAGGTCCCATTCAGGTAGAGTAACAAACTTATTTATGGTCTGAGCCTGTGCTCTTCAGATGTCACTTAATTGAAGTTTTCTGCTGGCCAATTCAAAGCCAGTCTCTATGTGGCCTGTTTTTTGAAAAGATCAGATGGGACAGATTTTTCTGATATGTCAGTTCTGCTTTTTGGCATGCCAACTGGAAAACCAAAAATTAATGTTTTTAAAATTTTCATTTTTTGAACTCTTATGCATATTGGGTTGCTTTGGCTGTGTTTGGGGCAAAATTTAAGAAATGATCATTCCAATTTCAGTTGTCCTATCCCCAAAGCACTAGATTTTGGGGCATTGGTGTGCCGTTTCTGCTTTTCTTACTTATTTCTCATTGTGATCTTTATTTTGTGAGAATGCTGCCAAGCTGTTGTAGCATGTTTTCTGATCTTTAGAGGCCCGAGAATGACATCCACTCAAATTGGCAGAAACATAAATAGAAGCCTACATCTTCAGCCTTCCCTGACTAGTGTTTTTGTCATTATATTTCTTGATTCCAGGTTTCTATCAGAACCTTTTAAAAGTGTGTTTGCAAGGTCTTCAGGTTGAAGTTTGAAACCTGTATTCTGCTTTTTGCAGGTATTCTCCGTTTAGCATCTGGAGTGGTTGATTTGCTCCAGCATTATTTTCCAGAATCTTTTGATCGCCTTCCTCAGGACCGTGGTCTCTTTGATGGGCCAAAACCTACAGTCTTGGAGTCCTGCAGTGTTAGTGACCTAGCAATTCTGCTGAGGGGCAACAAAAGGAAAACACAACCCATAGAATTTGGAGCACATCAGGTTTGCTTTTTTTAGGCTTTTTGCAGATTCTGACAGCTCTGTTGCTAAATAATAGTCTTGTATCAACTGCCCACAACTTTCTTTTTTAAGCCCTTGTCTCACTGATAAATTAGGCATTTCAAACTTGGAAACCTTTATTGTGTTGGTTTCTGTTTCTTTTTAATACGTCTGGTTCTTTCTGTTCTTTTTTTGGTGTGAGGTATTGTGTGAGGTATTGTCTGACCTGTTCCTTTCTATCTCCAAATTTTCTTACACCAGATCTAAAACTGTCTACACATACCACGCATTTGTCAGTCTTCTAGTGGCAGCTTTGTGACCTTTTTTGTGGAGTGTGCTGAAATGTCTCTGTGAAATGTCTAGTTTTTAGAAGGCTCTTTTATTATCATCATGTTTGTCTTTCTCTATGCAGCTGTTACCTTTTTTTCCCCTTTTTTGCTTTCTAATATTTTTTAAAATGTATTTTTTGGCAGGTGGTATTAGTGGCAAATGAAACTGCAAAGGAGAAGATACCTGAGGAACTTAGTTTGGCACTTGTACTGACAATTTATGAAGCAAAGGGCTTGGAATTTGATGATGTCCTCCTTTACAACTTTTTCACAGATTCAGAGGTATTTAATTCTTATCCATTTTCTGCATTTTCTCTAAAGTCAGATTTACTTGTGATCTAATTGGTAGTTCAGCTGGGAAAGGATTCCCTCTTTTCTCTGAGGATGAGTGGTTTCATCACAGTAGAGAGCAGAGGTCGTAGGTTTATGAATTGGGAACGTGTTTCCATAAGTGCTGCCTTCTCCTTCAGGTTTACTGTTAAAATTTAAGGGAGAGTCTAGGGGTAATATGCACAACATTGCACACATACACACACACACACACATGCTCTCTTCTGCTGCACACCAAGACTACTCCTCTGACCCCAGCTGGACAAGTATTCCAGGTATTCCTTACTGAACATGCCTGCAGACACTCCATGTACCCATGCCTGAATTACTCTGCAATTAAACATTCAGTGTGAACAGCCCTGTTACAGATGTCCTCTGCCTCTACCCCTCAAAACAGTGTCTCCTGTGGTTTTCAGCAGATGAAAAACACAAGAAATCTGAGGGCCGCTTACTTGTGGCTCTTCACAGAGATTAGTGAATGTTATGTGATGAGGGCAGAAGGAAGGAGCTTGAAGTAAATACTGGCTGTCATGGTAGATTTCTCAAAGTTGATTTGTTTCTGGTGATGCAGGTTGTAATCAGAAAAACAACAAGGCATTTATCAGAATTTAGCAGAATCAGTTTAGCAGTGTTGAGTTGTGTAGAGCATTTTAGCTTAGACTAATGTATGTCAGGCCTGGAGAACTGTTTTCATACAATTCTTCCATGTTCCTGTGAGTCATGAGTAATTGAGTTGATTTGAGCAGCTAAACAAGCAGGCAAGAAAGCAGTTCACCCTGAGGTTTTCTAATTTAGAAAGGCTGTATCTGTGGACTGCTGTAAACACAGCAGTGTGGCCGTGTGCACTTTGTAAAGTGTTGGGTTTTCTTTTTATTTGTCTTGAAAATGAGATTTAAGAAGAGTCTTGTTTCAGGAAGCAGATGGGAATGAAAAATCTAGAAAGCAAAAATGCCAAGCCCCCAAAACACAGCAAGCTCTTGACCAGACTGGTACCTTTAGCTGGTTGTCATGTTACAATCTATGACTTAGAGGCTTGGGAATGTCTTCATTTGAAATCTTAACTTCAAAATACATTTTGCAGGAAAGGTTTCCTGTTTTTTTTTCCCCTGTGGGAAGACAGTTAATTTGTTTTGTGTTGCTCAAAGCTCAGAAATATATAAATTTGTAAAAATGTTGTTTCAGCCTTATTTGTGAATATTTTTTATTTTATGCCAGAAACTTGGCAATATTTAATCACATTTTAATTAAATACCAAAAGGGAAAAGTGAACTTAGAATATAGTCACGATTTTAAGGTTATTCATTTTGCAGGGATCAGGAACCTGCAGAGTGGTGGGATCAGGAGCTGGCATTTCCTACATGGCATGAGAGTGCACAGCACTGATCTGCTGCCACACTTAACTTATAGTTAGGAGTGTCTATGCATATTTATAGACATCTTTCACATGTTTCTGTGTTGGAGTCAAATATTTTCTGACCACGCTTTTTAAGACTTTCCTTATGAGTGGGTTTTTTTGCTCACCTCTGAGTGTTCTTACAAGAGGAGGTGTTGGCAGGTGCCATTCCACCCCCTGGCTGAGACCAGCACTAGCAGTTACTGGTGTTCAACACAAAGCTTAATACATTCATCACATGAATGACCAGCCAGATCTTTTCTGGGAATACTGAGGATGAGAATATATGCCAGCATGGGATATGTGTGGGTCCAGCTCACTGAGCTTGTCAGCCTTGTAGAGTCAAGGAGACTTAGTGGCTGCCCATCTTAACCTGCAGGCCAAGATCTCTCAAATGTGTCTTACATACTAGATTTTAGGATGACAGATTGCAGCTTGTGAGTGTTATTCCACCACCTTTTATCCTGCCCCAAACTGGCAGGGAGCTGCCTGGCCCAGCAATCAGCACACCCCCACTCACTGAGTTTGCCTGGTGTGGTATTGGAGGTTAGTTGGAGGTTATTGGAGGAGAATCCTCATCCTTAGGACTAAAACTTGACCCTCCTCCATGGGGGAGGTAACCTGATCTCCTCCACAGAGGGATCACTGTAAGGGTGTTTAGCTGAAAAGGTATAGACTACCCAAGGAGGTTTTTATGTTTAATATCAAATTACTTATTTGATATATTGAGCATTGCATATGATTTGGATCTAGAAGAGAGATACAGCAGGATCCTGACATCCCAAGGCAAGCATTGGAATCGCAATACAGATGTGATTCTCATTAGTACTCCCTGTATATATACATATACATACATACATACATATATATATAATGTATTCCCATTAGCTTCTCCATCATGATGCTGGCCATCCCCAGTCCCTGAAAAGTAATATGCAGCTTGTAGCCAGATCAAGCCAGCTGCATTTTTAAAGGTGCGCTTTGTTTGCTCCTCATACTTCCCGCAGTCTGTTGGGCTGAGGTACATCTTTGCTTTTGCCTGGGCAGCTCAGGAGGGTGTAACTCTGTGCTAGCTGTTTTAGGGGAAAGTTGTTTATGGCCTTCATGACCACCTGCTACAGACAAGTATCTCAGGCAAAGGCTGTGTTGAGATGAAGTTCAGCTTTCTTGTTGAAAATTGCTGATTATTCTTTACTTTCTTCCCTGAGATAATTTCCTTCCCCAGTCTTCTCCTCTGAGCCTTCTTCCCTTGTAGGGATGATAGGTCACACCATACAACCTTGTGTGTATGTAGGCAATAATGGTTAGTACATATGAATAAATCTTATTCTCTTGATATTTCAGGCTAGCAAAGAATGGAAGATAATTTCTTCTTACAGTCCTGATCCAGATGTTCAAGTGGGAAGCAACTTGCTAATTGAAGTGCCATTAGAGGATGCCACTGGTATGCAGGAAAGGACTCCATTTAATGTAGAAATGTACAAGGTGAGCTTTTTGTAACATTGGGAGTAGGAAGCACAAGTTAAGTTCTTAAAGGTAGGGAAAATTCTTAAGTCCTTTAATCCTGTGTTAGTTCCATGTTTATTAAGCTTGCTTTACCTTTTATAGTTGTTCACATTTGTATAATAAAATAGAATAGAAGGTTAATATAATATAATGTTAATATAACGTCATATAATACTGATTTTAAAAGATGGGAGATTGTTTGCAAGTGTAATTTGATTAGAGAACAAAAACTGTGTCATAGACTTTCAGGTATATTTACAGAACAACTGTGGTTAAGTAAATAGCAATTCAGCTTGTCAATATTCATTATTCTTAGAATCTATTTTCGATTGGTGTCACTACCTTGAAATTAAGGAAGTTGCTTAGAATCTGGTGATTCAGATATTTTCAGGATTGTATGGGAAATCAATAATTATGTGATTAGAAGGAAAGTACCCTGTCATACCTGCAGCTGATTTGTTGTAGTAGTTGCTTGTAAGTTAGCTGGACAATGGCTTATGTAATTGAAATCCCATCTTTAATATTTAGACTTGCTTTCTAAAGTACTTAAAAGCACTTTCTTACTTGTTATTCATTCTGTATAAATTCTCTGTTTTGTTATAACTGCAAATTATGGTTCTTTCTAACAATTTAGCTCATCTGGCATTTAATTTATTTAATTTAATTTTTTTGTTCTGCCTCAGATGCTGAATGGAGAACTCAAGCAATTGTACACTGCAATTACAAGAGCCAGAGTCAATCTTTGGATCTTTGATGAAGACCGTGATAATCTAACTGTGTGCATTGACAGTTGCCATTTCAAATTTCCACTTATTTCAGTGGTTCTTAATTCTTTGTCTCTAAAGACCAGTTGCATATATTAAAGTTTATTGCTAATTTGCTAGTTTAAGGTTTCTTGCTGTCACAGGAGAAGAATCAGTGATCCCTCAGACAGATCTGATCTTGTAAATAGTTTATTGAGTTCTAACCAGTAAATTCAGATATGTAAATATTCATTAAGTATGGATGGATTGGTGGTCAATACTCTACTTTTTACATAAGCTTTCTATACCTATCTTAAATATTACACACATGCAAAAATGTCATTTACCAGCCCATTGATGTCTGGTGTTGAGTAAGGGATCCCTCAGCCTCGAGGGGTGACCTTAAGAGGTGTTCTGACATAAAGGGAGATCAGGTTATTGCCGCTCAGCCAGTTACTGTGGAGAGAGCTCAATGGACCCTGATGGCTGCAGATATTTATGGCTTAAAGTGGTCAATTTGTAGTCAGATTTTCTGCTGTGTTAATGCAGTTTCAGCCACTTACCAGCCCAGTCTCCAGCCAAACTCTGGGGGTTTCTGTATTCACACTGGTAGTTTGACACTACAGTGTTACCACACTTGACTCATGGTTACCATCACTGGAGCAACCACAAACATAGAGCTCAGAACATAATGAGATATTGCTTAGTATTGGTACATGATAAGTGGTTTCTGTGGTTTATCCATTCTAACATAAAATGGTCACCCCTGCCCTTGTAGACTTAGATGACAGCATGTTTGCTAAAACTTCAACTCCAGAAGAATGGATTGCACAGGGAGACTACTATGCCAAACACCAGTTCTGGGAGGTAGGAACATATGTTTATCTGAAATAAGGATTCTTGCTTATTCTGAAACCTTTTCTTTTCTCTGTATCTATAAAACCATCTGTAAACCTTGAGTTGTTCTGTAGCAGTTTGCCTTAGTTTGTGGTTTGTAGCTGTGTGTCTACTTGTAAATGACTTACAAGAAGTGAGCAGAGAGAGCAAGCCTTTTGATTGTAATCTTAAATTCACTGCCCAGAAACTTGCAGTCCCATGGGGGAAATTACAGTTTAATGCATATGAATGAAAGACAGTTGGAAAAATAATTATTAGCATCAATCAGAATTGACTGATACGTGTGAATCTAAACCATGTTCTTGACAGCATCATTGCACATACTGCAAAGAAATGAAAGCATTTCTTGGAAGTGTATTAATTCAGGTAGGAAAATGATGGTTTCATTCCCTTTCTGTTTAAAGAACATAGAGATTTTACAGTCTTTTGTTTCCTAGCTTCCTACTTAATACAGATATGGGATATGTCCAGATATGGGATGATAGTTAATGGCATTGAAGCAAATCTCAGCCAGGATGACAACATCAATGAAATACTCTAAAGGGAGATAAGGAATATCTCTGGATCAAATGATATTGTCCTTATGGGTGATTTTAACTTCTCAGACATCAACTGAGAAAATCATACAGTGGACGCAAACAGGTCCAGGAAATTTCTGGAGCATGTGAAGATAATTTGTGGGTTCAGGTACTAGAGGAGCTTGCTAAGGAAAGTGACCTCCTAAATTTGTTATTTGTAAACAGAGATGCATTTGTGAGTAAAGTGGGGATTCGTGTCTTGGTCACAGTGACCACAAAGTAACTGAGTTTCAAGTTGTTGGCTGCAGAAAAAAAGTCCTGCAAACCTTTGACCCTGGATATGCCCCAACAATCAAAAAGGCAAACAATGCCCTGGGTACATCAAATGCAGCATTGTGAGCCAGTCAAAGGAAGTGATTGTCCTGCTCTGCTCTGTGCTGGTGCAGACTCACCTGGAGTACTTTGTGCAGTTTTGGGCACCAAAATATAAGAAGGGCATCAGACTGCTAGAGTGTGTCCAGAGGAAGGTGACCAAGATGATGAAAAGTCATAGAACCATAGAATGGTTTGGTTTTGAAGAGGCCCCAAGCCTCATCCAGTCCCAACCCTCCTGCCATTGCCACAGGCAGCTCTAGAGGGCAGGTCTTAAGAAGAGACTGAAGTGGCTTGTCTTGTTCAGCCTGGAGAAGACATGGCTACTCCATGAGGGGTAACCTCATCACAGTTTACAACTTCCTTAAGAGGAGCTCCTGATTTCCTCTTTCTGGTTACCATTACCCCATAGGACATGGGGAAATGCAATGAGGTTGGATCAGAAGAAGATCAGACTGGACATAGGAAAGGGCTTCTCATTGAGAAGGCAGTCTGCCACAGGCACCCCAGGAAAGTGGTCATGGCATTAAGCCATGAGTTCAAGTTCAAGAAGCATCTGGTTAACATCCTTAGTTGTGTAGGTTTGTTTTAGGTAGTCCTGCAGGGAGCAGTAAGTTGGCCTCTATTATCCTTTTAAGTCCCTTTCAATTTGAAATGCTCTGTGATTCTATGAAATAAAACTTTAGACACTTTTTTGATCATGGCAGAGGGGAAGCTTTTGTGTTTTGCAAGTAACAACATAAAATTATTTGAAGGGAAAGTAAATATTTATAAAAGACAAAAACCCAAAATAATCAGCGGCCACTATACAGGTAGTCTTTATCTCCCCTTGAAAATAAAAGGCAATTTTCTAAATGGACAGAAAAGAGTTTAGATAAAAAAACCCCACAGCTTAAAAAAATAATCTTGAAATCTGAAATGTATTAGCTATAATATCTCCAAATTTGTTTTCTTTATAACCCTGATCTTTGCCAATCAGTGCTACCTTAAGATAACATTATCTGGTGACTTATGCAGTTCTAAGAGTGGCTTGCAGTGTGCGATTTCCAAACAGAAGCAACACTAAATTAATGGATAGAATAAAGAAATTATGGTGTTGCAGAATAAGCAGTGTGATAATGAAGCAGGCCTTGCTAGGAGCATGGTAACTCCTGGTGTTTCTATTTAGTTTTCACAGAAAAAGCCCGGCATGATAAAAGCACTGAGTAAATGTTCCTTGCTTTTTGATTTCACTTTGCACACACTGCTCTTCCTCACTTTTAGTTATATGTCGTAGATGCCTGGTCACTTGCCAGTTGTGTTAGGCTATCATTCAAATTGTATATGCTATTTGTTCTTTCAGCTTACCAGGAATTCTGCTTTCACTACTTCCATGTACAATATTGTAATTAATATTCTAATTTTGGTAGTCACATGTGGACTGACTTTAAAGCTTTTCTTTTTGTCCTAAAAATATACCACAATGTTTTACCTTTTCCTTTTTCCAGGCACCCTGCCAGTCTTTCTGCTTTCTATTCCAGTGATTGTAAAATTAAGTATTGCTTTTATGTGATAAGCCATGGGCTGGATGCACATCTGTGAATGCTGTGTGTGATTTCACCCCAGGTGGCTGCCAAATGTTACCAAAAGGGAGGAGCAGCTGAGAAGTCAAAACTGGCCCTGACGCACGACGCTGTTCTCAAAGTGCGCGCGAAGAAAAGCAGCCCAAGGTAGGTGTCAGTGCAGCTGAGCAAGTGTCACTCTGCAGAGCCAGACCCCTCGGGGGTGCAGAGGGTGGGTGAGATTCACACCACAGCTGTGGGACTGGACCAGAGATGTCAGAGAACACAGTGCAGGAGGGGTGTCTTTCTGTGTTTGTGGTTGGCAAAAGATATTTAAAAACCTGGAAGGTCTAGTGCTATAGGATCCGGGGCACTGCTCCTGCTGGGGAGTAGTGGCAGGGCTGTCCAAATGAAATTGGCCCTTGCAAAGGCTTACTGGTTACACAAAAGAAAAGCAACAGGATTTGCATTGTGTCAAGAGGCTTTACATCCTTAGATATAGATAGGAGAACATATGCTATCAGCAGTGCTCAACTTCAGTTAATCACACTGAATATTCACTCAACAAAGGAGAAGGAATGGTGGTGTGCATTGGGGAAGAAAAGCTGCTATCAAAAAGTGAGCTTTGGGGTAAAATTAGTTTTACAGTCAGTTTAAACTAAACAAGCAGAGCCAGATCTGAACCAAAGGACAGTTTTAAAGGAACAGATTTTGAGATGAATCATTTTGTTCATGATTTCAGCTGAGTAAAATAGCTCTAGAATTTGACAGGGGAGAGAGTTTGCAATTTCCTGAAGAGGCTTGGAAACTCTTTGGGACTCATATCAAATAAGACAGGAAAAAGCTTAATGGAGAAGGATCTAGACCTATGTGAATCAGTTCCTGCTCATTCTGGGGAGACCAGAAGCTAGCAATGGTAGCAGAATGGGAAAGGAATGACTAGATCAGAGGAAGCTGGCACAAAAGGGAGAAGAGGGAAGATTGAGGAAATGCTGTCACTGGAGTTAGTTGAGATTTTATCTTTTTTAATTACCTGCTTTACATGAGTGGCCCTGGTTAGAAGTATAAGATTCTCCTAAAATTTCATGATTATAGAGAAATTGTTGATGAGACTGATAAAACTTTCTCAGTTCACTGTGTTTGTCAGCTGCATAAAATTTGAGGAGAAGGAATTTGCTGTATTAGGATCTGTTAAGTTTATAGAACATGTGTAATAAAGTGCCAAAGTTGAAGGTTTTTTTTAAAAAAAAGTGGAATTAATGCTAGTGTAAGCTTAAATAAGATTTTTGTGTGTTCTGTATGAAATGCTCTGTACAGTTCTGATTCTCCAGGCTTGAGAATTGTGAATTCAATCTAGATCATGCTGCAGCGATACCAGGAAGGCTGGGATTGTTTAGTCATACAAAACAAAGGCAGAGAGCACGTTTGCTTGTGTCTCTAATGACTTTGGTGCTAAACAGCAGAAAGGAGAGAGCAAGCTAAGAAAAGGAAAGCAGTACAAAATCACAGTACTATACATTAGTTAAAAAAAAAACCTCAAAAGAATCTTTTGACTGCCAGAGCTGTCATTTTGGAACAGACTTCTGGACAGAGAAGTGCCAGCCCAAAATATAATCAATTGTAATCAGGTAATGTATAAAAAATAATGTGTGTTGTCAGTGTTGGTTGGATTCAGTGACAGCTCATGTGATTTGGATGTTAATAGTAATGCTAAACTTAATTTGGATGTCAGTAGTAATTTTCTCTTACTTCTTTCCACAGGGAAAAACAGATGGAATATATGACATTGGCTAAAACTTACTTGGAATGTGGAGAGCCAAAACTATCACTAAAATGTCTGATTCAATCAAAGGAGTTCCGTCTTTGTGCAGAATTGTGTAAAAAATTAGGAAAGGTATTAAATAACATATCACTTTTCTTTTCCTACAGCTTTTTTTTCCTCTCATGTTACTCAGAAAGTAATAGTATCTCTTTGTGTCATGGTAAATAGCTAAACTGAACAAGCTCTTTAATCTGGGCTGTTCAAAAGGAATCATTTGTCAGAAATAGGCAGAAGAGGAATGAAGTGGAGAATGATGCAATTATGCAGGCTGGCTTTATTTCTTTGGCTTTTCTCAAATGTCATTATCAGTCATTTGCAGTCAAAAATTAGTAAATGACTGATGTCATGAAACTTAAACTGTTGCTTCATTCAGTACTCTGATGATACTGAAACTTCATTGATAACAACCATCTAAACAGAACCTTAAAATTTGGAAGGGTTAAAGTAGTGTGCTAACAATATGTAGTATTTTTATTTTCAGTGTATTTCCACTATAAGAATGTAACATGACTGTTCCCAAATATTTGAAGTTTTAGGATATGTTAGGTTTCTCATTCTGCATCCATAACTGCTTTAATTTAGTACTGTTCATGCTGAGAAATCTGTAAATCAGGAGAAGCATGTGTAGTGTTTTCTAACAGCAGGCAAAGCTGGCTGGGTAAAATTATTTTGAAGATCTTATCATTTTATACTCTAGTTTTTCAGGAACAAATATTTTGAAGTGTTTTTTTAAACAATCTCTTCAGTTTTAGTGATGGTTGCTTTAATATGTATTTGATTTTATTCAGATACTTAATTACATTTTATTAAAGTGTACTTCTTTATGAGATATGATGGAATTACAACATTTATTCCATTCATGTAGTTTTAACTGTTTAAAGCTCTTCAGTTTCATTATTGACTTCTGCATTGCAGATGAAAGATGCTGCAGTTTACTATCAGAAAAGCCAGTGCTACAAAGAGGCATCTGAATGTTATGAACTAATCGAGGAGTTTGATCTGGCCATTAAAATGTATTGTCAGGAAGAACTCTATGAAGAAGCAGCAAAGGCAGTTGAAAGGTATGTCTTGCAAGATGGTATTGGAATATAATTCTCTTTTGCATTTCCAAATTCCGTATAATGCAGCTGGTTCACTGCAAAAATTTCAGAAGGGTTTTGTCTACTGACTTTACATAAATCCTTTGTGATGTACCTTTAGTAATGGTGACTGCTTTTTTGAATGATCAAAGCTTCCTTAATATGTTGAGATTGTTCAGTTAAAAAGTTCAAGCATTAAAGTCACTTTACCAACGAAAAAGTTTTTAAATCATCCCCCCACAAAACATTCATGGAAATTTATCAGCATAGACACAAAAAATCTGCACTGCCATGTTTATCATGAGAAAGATGGTAATGGAAAGCTAATGATAATTTACTCATCCAACAGGAAGAAGTTACTCATTCTCAGCATGCAGGAGAGAATATTTCACAACACTGGCTTGGGGATACCTCAATAATTTTACATCAGCCATTAATAATTAATGTTCTGAAAGATGCAACCAGGCGTTTTGCTCAGACACTCCATAAGCTACAGAGTACATGCAGATACATACAGCAGGCTTGAAAGAATTCTCTCTACAGTGACAAGTTTAAGTAAATTTTACAGAATATTGCATATTATCTGTCTGTGGAGAATTCACTGAAATTCATACTTCTTTTAATAAATAGAAGAATAGTAGAAGAATAATAGATAAAACGTGTTAAAATTATTTGTACATTGATTTGACAGTGGGGAGAATGCTTCACTAATGCTGTAAACCTTGTGATCTTGTTTGTACCAAAAGTTCTAATAATCTTGATTCTGACGGCCTCATGTTGTAATTAATTTCTTTCTGTAGATCTTTTAAGATGATGTGATCCTCTTTTGCCTGACAGGCATATCACATGAAGCAGTTGGCTTTTTTGAAGGAAGGGCTTCTAGTGGAAACTATTTGTTTAATGTTGGTGTTTGGTTTGTTTGTTTGTTTTTATTACAGTGCTTTTTTTGTCTAGATTTGTCATCTGTGGCAGTAAATTGATATATCTCTTATTTCAGATATGAAGATATGTTGAATGCAAAAGGACGAATGGCTTCCAAACTCTCCTGTACAGCAAATCAGTTGTATTTGGAAGCAGCTGCAAAGTACCTGAGTATGAGCAGGACTGAGGAAATGATGCAGGCCCTCTCAAAGCTTGATATAGAGGATCAGCTTGAGTTTCTGAAGTCTCGTGGATGTTTGCACCAAGCAGCAGACTTACTGAAAAGGAAGGATCGCCAGGAAGAAGCTGCCAAGTTAATGAGACAGCACGGGTTTGCTCTGGAAGCAGCCAACCTCACAGCTGTAAAAGAGTTTCGCGCATCGTGTTTGCTTGCTGAAGCCCGTGCCAGGCTGAGTCGCGGTTCAGATTTACACCTGGGGAACGTGGAGAGCATCCTAAGAGAAGCCCTTGAACTTTGTGAACAAACTGGGCAGAAGTCTGGCGTTGCTGAGGCTGTGTTTTTGCAGGGAACTCTGAAAGGAGACTTCTTGAAGCTGAGCAACGCGTACTGCAAGTTCCTGTCTCTGAATCATTCCGCTGGTGCAGTCGAAGCTCTCTTTGCATTATGCCGCTGCACCACCCCTAGCCAGAGCATCCTCTTCATGGCAGCACGTGGCTTAAAGGCTCTTCTGAGTCTTGTTAGTGGCCTGAAGAAAGCAGCCACCAATGCAGAGAAGGATATGGTGAAGTTATGCTTTGCCTATTTTGGGATTGTCCCAACAGGTGACAGTTGCCAGGTGTCTCAAAATGAAGCTGAACCCATTCTCAAGTTTTTATTAGACAAGCCAAGTCTAAAAGAGAGGAAGACGAAAGGTGATTTCACCATAAGCACAGAGAAAGTAAAATCAGCTTTGAAGCAGCACCTGTTAAGCAGGTTGTGCTTTATCACCCGTGAGTTACTGAGCAGGAAGTACCCTGATATTTGTATGAAGTTCATTGCTGGATTGAACTGTGAAAATAAAACCTGTGAAGGTTACCACAAGCCCTTGTTGCGTCATGAAGCAAAGACAATATTTCAGTGTAAAATGCATCTGGTGGCAATAAATGGACTGTTGTTGGAAGCCACATACACTTTCCCTGAAGAGCTACTGAGTCAGTGCAAAAGCTTTGAGGACATTTTGACTTCTGACAAATATGCATCATGTAAAGCCCTCCTAGGAATATTTTTTCCTAATCATTTTCATTTGAGAATACTGTCTGAGAACCCAAGGGCATGCAAAGAAATACTGCAATTCAGTAGTGTTATTTCCAAACCTTGTCGAGAGATGTTGAGGAAGTACATCACATACAAGTTTAATAATGAAGACATTGCAGCCAGAAGAGAATCAACTGACTTGTGGCTAAGTGCCATGAAGGTCCTTATCTTATCTTCAGGATATCCTGAAGAATTTGAGAAACTTCTTTTTAAAGAAGAGGATAATTATAACAAAGAGCTAATGTTTGCTTTGGCAAAGGCAAAAAGTTACCCAAACAATAAAGGAGAAAAGACCAAAGGAATAGAGGGCAGACATGGTATGTTGCTACCTGACAAAAATGTTGAAAACACAGGAAGAACACACTTGTGCTTCATTCGGCTTCTTGAAAATTCACTTGAGCAATTCTATGTTCATAAGAACCCAGAGAACTGCAAAAGATTTTTTTTCCGTTTCATGAATGTCCTGATCAAGAAATGCACAAGGTACCTGATTCCAAGCATAGGAAATACGGTGATGTTGCTTGAATTCCAGTATATTCTGTGCTGTGCTGTCCTAATGCGTCTCTCCAAGAACATTACTCTCTGCCTTCCAAAGAGTTACATTGCCCTCCTTCATTACTGGGAGTTTCTGTTCAGACGCAAGGACCATTACAAAGAACTGAAAGACACATTTTCTATTATACAGGAGTATAGACCAAAGGACACAAATTCAGCTGTGTACTATTTCAGAACTCATCTCTGTTATCTAGCAGAAGTCTTGTGTGGTGTTCATGGAAGGTTCAATGTCCTCCTGGATGCATTCAGCGATCCCGACTGCGTAACTTCAGGGGAGGCTGAGCGGACAGTAGTGCTGTGCTTAGTGATGCTACTGAATGCTGACCAGGTGCAGAGTTCTAAAGATAAATCCCTCTTACTCCACCTCTTTCCTGAAATCAAGCTGATGCTGGAATTAATGAGAAAAGACACTCCCTCAAAAGTACCTGAAAGATTGCTGAGGGTCGTGGAACAAGTGGCTCATGCTGCACATGTGAGAGAAGTTGCTGCAGGCCTGCAAGAGCTGCTGACAGAGCGAGATGAGGAGCACTTGGTTGACTGCCACTGGAAATGGGACACTGCCTACACTCAGGGGCATCCCCCCATACGGGGCATCCAGTATGAACGCGTAAACCTGGACAGATTTATAACCTCTTTGGATGAAATAGAATATGCTGATGAGCTGAAAGAGGAATTTGAAGGGGTTCATTGCTTAGAGGACCAAAAGGATCCCCTGGAAGTCATTGCACTCAGCAAGCAACAGAAACAAGAGAAGAAAGCATCTGCTCAACGCCAGCTGTATCGTGTGTTCCATTTCATTTCCCTGTATGTCAAATGGAAAAGGAAGGCCCGCTCCAGAGTTCATCCTGTTACAATGAAAGAAGAGGAATTTTTATCAGAGGTATTCAAAAGAGCAGATATTGACCAAACCCAGTGTGATCTCTGTGGTGTCAGATTCATCCAAAGTTCTGAGAACTATTTCAGCCGCTCAGAGAGCATGGAGGCAGACACTTCTGAACCTCTGACACCAACAGAGAGTAGTGGGGAAGAAAAGTTGCACGCTGAAGGAAATGCAATTTCTGTGGCCAGCGAGGCCTACATGGAGCACAGAAACACAGAAGAACACAAAAATAACCATGCTGCCTACAGACACTACGCTGAGTTTTTCAGAAGAAAGATAGATCCAATAATACACGATGGACTGGGAGTAGTGGAGGCCATTACAGAAAGGGATTACACCCGAGACCATTTAGCATATAAAGAAGGTTCCAACTTACGCCAAAGGAAAATCAAAGAGAATATTAAAAAAATTTCAGATGCAGTGGAGGAAATCTATGAGAAAAAAGCCTGGGCTAAAGGTAGGTCCTTTCTTGTTTTCTTTAAGAAATTTGTCATTTTTTGGCCAAACTGCTAGACCTGGTAAAGCTCCATTTGAAAATCTTAATGTGGTCCAGAGAAAGGTATTTCAGGTAGCCAAGGAAAAGAAGAGCTGAGAGAGCTGGAAATACTGAGAATATATTCTAAACTCTTCCAACTTAATGAATTACATAGTACAGGTAAAGTGAATAGCAGTGAATTTTTATAGATAGTAAAGTGACTTTTAACCACATGGTCAGACATATGGTGTTCTCTGAACTTACAGTTTTACACCAACTTTTCAGTTTTTCTGACAGGTCATCTTCACCAATTTTTCTATTGTTTCTACTGTTTCCAGTTTATTTCTGCTAGACATAGTAATTTGGATATGCAGGGTAGGAGTACTTGTAGTCTTTGACTAAGGCTTTCGCTGATTATTCTGCCCTTGAACTTGTAATTTTGCTAGGACTGAACAAAAGTGGATACTTAATCACAAATCTGTGGTGTGTCAGGTACTCAAAGGCAACACTGGTATTAAAAAGTTTGGTAAATTGTGGTGCTTGAGATACATATTTTGATGCTAGATTTTTTTTCCCTTATATGCTTAAAACATTAAACTATGTTGAATTTCTCAAGCAAAATTGAATTAGTGAATGAGTGGCTTAGAAGCATAATTGTTTAGTATACTTGCTTTGGGAAAGTGACAACTTAAATCCTAACATTGTTACTGGCTTCAGTGGAAGAAATCCACCAATCCTGTCAAGTTGTCATTTTGCCTTCGATGTCTGACAGTAGTGAAAAACTGTAGTATTTGATATGTTCATCAGCTCTGATCAGTGAAATGCGTTAAATTTGTAACTAAATGTTAGGTTATGCTCTTCACATGTAAGATTTATCTTTACTTGGTCCTTGAAGTTTAGTTTATTGTTTACTTGGCTTCCTGCTCAGTGAACTATAGTAGTGATAGATATAGTAGGCTTTAGGTAATAGTGATTTCGTTATGACAATTGCTTGATGACTTCTACCTTGTTCTTCTACTCAGTGAAAATATATATAGAGAAATTACTTGTGTCTGAGATTACTTTTCTCTCTCTTTATAACAGACATTTTTCAGGTTCTTAATGGTGCAGTTCAGCAAAGGCTGCATCATTGTAGGTCTGTGTTTTACTTTGATTTGTATAATTTCAGAGAGATAAGGAAAGTCAGGAACTTTATAACCCAAAAATAAAGTAGAATGTTTTCAGGGTTCGGACGTAATTCAAAAAGGGCAGCACAAGGATGTAGAACTTCTGCTCTGATAATGCTAGTAATGTTGATTGGAATGGGGAGTAATATATACATCATCTTCATCCACATTAGTGAATTGAGATTGTTGGTGACCATGACTTCTGGGTTTGCAGCATTGTCATCCCACATAGCCCTGTGTAACTTCATTTTGTGCTTGACTTTTAGCTGCTGTCCATTTCTCAGCTAAGTGTTCTCACAGAATGTTAATTGTGCTCCATTTCAGCTGAAGAGGTAATAAACACACATGCCAACAAGTTGGTTTACACCATTGATGACGCTCGTAAGTGGCTGAAGCAAATGGACTCTCACAGGATAACAGAAGAAGGTATATTTTAAAATATAGCTTTCTGTGCCCACTACTGTTCAGTAGTGGTCTCTAAGCATCACTTCAGTCTCCTACTCAGCAGCATTGTGGATATTCACTGGCCTTTGAGAGGCACTCCCACAGGAACACTCTGGAAAATATGAAATAACTAGGCCTTTCTCAGTGGCTCTTCAAAGCAGAGCAGCTGGTTGCAGGGTGGCTAGAGTGGAGCAAGCCTTCTCCCTGGCCCTCCATGGATCCCAGCCTGATAAAGGATGCTTGTTTCTTTTATTTCACTTCCATTTCTCTTGGTTTCATACAAAAATTAGCATACATTGTTGCAGTCTATTGCATCACAGATCTCTGAGGGCAAGTGTAAGACTTCATTGTGCCTCCCTGAATGTTCATGTTTAAACATATATTTAGGTGGTGGGATTGCAACAGTTGCAGAAATAGGCAGCAATAGGAAGTGATTCGACTTACAAAATGGACTCTATGTAAAGCATTAAAGCAGCTCAATTTTAGAAAAATTGGTTGTGATAAAGCCTTGTGATGCCTCTTCCTGTTCCAGCAGATAGTTAGTAGGACTTGGGGTGTTCTTGTAGTTTCAAAATCAATGTTATAGTCTGTCTTGGAGGTCAGCAAGGAAATACAGTGTCTGGTGAAACTGAATCTTGAGAGAGAGATGAGATGAACTTCAGAAAAGTCAAAGGAAATAACAATAGAAACAGACTCTCTGTGTGAAAATTAATAGTGCAGCAAGTGGCTTAGCAGTTGCTGCTTCATTGCTGAGGTCTTAAGCACATTGTTGTATTAAGCAAAATACATCTTAAACATGAGTATGCACATATGAAGGTGTATTGATGACTTATCAAATAGCAATGACACAGCTTGTCATGCTGTTAAGAGAAAAAGGTGTTGGGGTTTCCCATTCTTCATTAATTTATTGTTTTTCATATAGGCTCGGTGCACGATAAAGACTTGGAAAATGAAGTGGAAGATGAAATTATGGCTTTTGAAGAACTTGCCCATAAAAAAATCTCAAGGAGAAAAGGAAGACATGGGAAACGATAATTTGAAAAATTACTCCAGATGGCTACTTTATCCTCTTAACAATCTAAGTTTAGAATTAATTTTTTAAAAAAAAAAATAGAGGGATGGGGCCAGAAATCAGAAGAGGCTGAAGAAAAAGAGCAACTTATGCTGTGTTTTATTTTGGGGTTTCTTTATGGCTTGTGTTGTGTCAGAAAAATTACCTATGTTATGATAATGTAATTGTTAAAATCTATGACTGGACCAATTTCCTTTCAAACCTATGTGATATCTTAAAAGTAACAAAAGCCAAAGAAACAAGCAAGTAGAAAAAACATTAATGTTCTGACTTATCTCAGGGGTATTTTTCCACTCAGTCTTTTTTTTCTTCTTCCTTGTAAACTGGCATCATCATTCTTCTGAGCTGGAATTCTTGGAAAAATAGATTGATACTTTCTCTGATTTTAAGAGTCTTGGTATGTGTAGAACTTTTTGAGTCTTTGGGTGAGATATTTACAGTATCTCTCTTTTCTATTTTTATAGACAAGAAATCTCTAAACACATTCATATTTCTGACAGCTGTATATTCTTCTGATTACATAGGTATGAAAGTTAGGGGTTGTCTTTTACTTGATCAAGTTTTGATATAAACTTCTACCTGTACCTATTGAAAAAAATTATAATCTTAATTTTAAAGGATGTTACACATTTTAAGTGCTTTGTAAGGTTTAATCAATACATTTTTGTAATGTATAATGTTTTTATAAAACCTATAAAACTTTTAAAATCATTTGATCTTGTCCTATTTTTTGAATGCTTTCTGAAAGCCGTATGTGACTGCATGAGTGAGACTTGTAAATTTGGTCCTGAGTATCAGTTCATTCTGATGGGATCTCAGTGTGTCCTGGTTTTGGCTGGGATAGAGTTAATTTTATTCATACTAGGTGGTAGAGTGCTGTGTATTTGAATTTAGGATGAGATTAAGGTTGAAACACACTGATGTTTTGGTTGTTGCCGAGCAGTGCTTACTGGTCAAGGAGTTTTCGGTTTCATGCTCTGCTAGAGAGCAGGTGCACAAGAAGCAGAGAGGGAGCATGGCCAGGAGAGCTGTCCCCAGCTAGCCAAAAGGACATTCCATAGCATAAAGCATCTTAGCACATAAACTGGGAGGAGGTGGACAGGAGGGGGGCTGAGCATCGGTCAGGGGAGTGAGCAGTTGTGTTGTGCATCACTGCTTTTCTTGGGTTTTATTCCACTCTTTTTTTTATCTCCCTTTTCATTAAGATTATTATTGTCATTATTACTGCATTTGACTTAATTTCAGTTATTAAACTGTTCTTAACCCACAGGTTAAGTGAGCAGCTGTGTGGTAATCAGTTGCTGGCTGGAGTTAAACCACAACATGTAGTCTCTGTTAGTAACCATCTTAATTAAAACATTTGTGTGTTAAACATAATTAAAGTATTATTTAGTTGTTGAAATATTTTGCCTTTAAAAGGGTTCCTTCCACGTAACAAATTGCTTCAGTTGTTCAATCTTTTGTCAAAAACTTGATCACTTATTATTATGCTCAATGTTGTGGAAATGGGACATTTTACATGGGTAAAAATGAAATGCTGCTGTAGAATGGAGCTATGTGGATAATAAGCAGTAATAATTTTTTATTGTATGGTAAAAGTCTCTTTCCAGATGTTTCTTCTTAAAGAAGTCTTATTCCTTAAGCAAGCATTTAGAAGATAGTTTGGAAACATGCACTGATGAAATGTAATGCAAGTCACTTGCAGTGTATAGAAGTCACGAATTAAGAAAGCTGGATCATTAATGTAAATTATTTGACTTTGTTTTCTGTAATGATGGGTATTCTGCAGAAACTTTCCTAATAAGTTTCCCAGCTTCATTATTTACATTTGTGGCGGTAAACACTACCTAAACTTTTAAAGGACAATTGCAATTTTAAAATCCTTGCTGGCCACATTTTAAAGAGTGAATTACTGTACTTTTTCTTTCTCTTTATGAAAAAAAAAAAACCAACTTAAACATTATCTCAAAATACCAAGTGAAGGGAAAACAAAGAAAAATAAAT